TGCATACGGAGGATTACAAACTTTTATAATAACATTTTGATTACAGACTTGGATCTTCTGTGAACTGAATGCAGAGATTTTAAAACAGGGTTTATTAATAAACTACACCAAAAAATGTTTTTTTTTAATTGTATATGATTCACTTTAAATAAATTTGAACTCAGAAATGAAACCGCAACGAAATTCTGAAATTGAAATACATTAAACAGTATTTTCTAAAACGTAAACTTTGTTTTATTTACTTTTTTTTACGGTGTATAAATAAATGCCTACATTTAAAAAACAGGTTAGTAAAGTATTTTTGTGCACATCGGCATGAAAAGATTCATATGAGGCATGTTACAGAAAGCCGTCGCAGCTCAGCGCTCAGATACTGTATATATTACACTATAATATACTGTTTGCATGCTGTATAAAATTAATATTTCATACCTCATTCAGTGCACTGATGTTTGTCATAAACACACGTCACACAGGCATTAATGAGCACGAAAGAGATGTTGTGTCAGAAAGTCCCGACTCCTCGGAGTAACAGTTTCATTTCAGCAGAAACACGACTGATCAGAGCTTCAGTGCATTATGCTTGTGTAAGCATTCATTATCAGAGCTTCATGTACACATGATGTTTACTTCAGCTTCATATGGACGTCCAGGACTGTTCAACTCTTGCAAAACGGCATAAGATACGGTCTCGTTTTCTCAAATAAATGAATTAAATAAAGTGAGGTTAAAGCTGCCGATGGAGTCAGAAAAAGAATCTTGCTTTCCTTCTGAATTAAGATTATTTTTCTGACCCAGTTATCAGGTTTCTTTTCTTGTTTTAAAGCTTAAATTCACTTCATTTTGATATTTTCCAGAAAACAAGAGTTAATTTCTTGCGTCATTTCGCTTGTTTAGATATCTGTACTAGAAAACCAATAATCAATTTTTGCAGTGCATTTTCACGTCGGTGATGTTTTATTAAAATAACACTGGAAAAAAAGATTTCCCATTTAGTATTTTTTATCTTGATTTGAGTTACAAATATTTGTAAAATAATAAAAAAAATAATTCCAGTAAAATAATTCTAGTATCGAGATACTGTTATAGTTTTTATTAATATTTTCGAGAAAT